TACCCAGAAATGCTGAAGGAGGCACAACTGAAAACACATTCCAATAAATGTCTAACAGAAGGGAAAATACCACACGACAGGGAAACTTCCATCGTCATTCTGATATACAAAAAAGGAGACCCATCATGTCTTGAAAACTATAGACCCCTAGGTGGCCTGACGTTGGGGGATCATGTGCTTACCCAATAATAACTTGTCGTTTCTCTTTTGGCACCACTCTTTTCCAGTAATCCAAAATCGAATGGATGTCAAGAAAATCTTGTTTAATATATTTGAATAGAATGGCATTTTTACAACGCCAATTTAAAACTCTTCTCAATGTTGCTAATCATTTTTAGGTACCATAGATATTTAACAGCATTCTGCGGCTTAGGTTCCACACTATTTATTACTGGAACGGCACGAGATAACATTGATTGCCCAACGGCCCAAGCGACCATTTGGATCCTTCAAAGGACCCTGCCCAAAGTATACGGAAATTGTGTGTATGTCAGAATCTGCTGAATTTTGTATGTAATGTAGATCACGCCTTTCTGATTAAAATTTACCATTGCACCAATCCTGAAAAATTACTAAACGTAGCACACCACTGCGACATAAGCTTACCTATTTGTGTTACATTGTATGTACTTGAACAATAATTTATATAAAGTCAGAATTAGTAAGATTATCTACATTTGTCAATTTGCCTTTCAACAAGAATTAGTAATGTTACCAAAATAGTATGTGACAAGTTATTCAAGTACAAACGAGTGGATTGTTGCGGAATTTATGAGTGGACCTCTGCGGGACAAGCGCAGCGAGTTCCGCAGTCATCTATTCATTAATACGTTGTTCAAGTACGATACTAACCTGACTTACTCAAATGTCAGTTATTCTTATTAGTTCAAAAACTACACGTTTCAGGTGAGTGTCTTATTTGAACAGTTCAAGAGTATATTGGTGAGTAGATGGCTGCGGAACTCGCTGGGCTCGTCCCGCAGAGGTCCACCCATAAGTTCGGCAATAATCCACTTATTTGTATGTATACGTTCATTACAATGTTCAAGCGTTTTACTTGCTACCTATGAATACTATGAAATTAATTTTCTCAAAAAGGAATCATTTTTCAGGATTGGTGCAATGGTAACTTTTAATCAGGAAGGAGCGTTCTACATTATATACAAAATTTAGCCGATTCTGACAAACACAATCTCCGTATACTTTTGGCAGGGTCCTTTGAGAGCCATTTCAAACTAAAATGGTCAGTAATCACCGTAAATAGTACCCCTTCAATGAATTGCCCACACCATGATAATGATGATAATATGACACAATATTTCTTATTTTATAAAGAAGTATTACTATGAATGAATCAAGAAGCGCATTTAAAAAAAAAATTAAGTGAATTAATATACATATCTCTCTATGCATAGCAAATTTGCCTTTCCCGCACCATCAGCTCATAATCGTTTTTCTAATCCTTAGAAAATAAAACCAGTAATACTTTCATCCTTGTTGTTATACCCGCGCTTAAAGTATTAAACCAATATGTTTGAACAGGCTAAAAAAGTTAAAACCTCACGTTCTTCAGATTTCCACTCCCCGCTCTCACTTTCAAATATACTTTTTCAAAAATTATGAGAATGTAAATTTCTCGAAACGACTTCAAACATTTCCAGTTTCATCCAACATGACACGTCCCATAAGCCAGGCCTAATCCCGCCTTTCCTTTTAAAATTTTGAGGAAGTCATTTATCAGGGAGGATATTATTATTATTATTAAAGACCACCGCCAGGTGTCGCGCCCATAAAATTACACCCTTATCAGTTTACTATGTGGCAAGAGCCAAAGAAAATATATTATTATTAAGTACTACACAGAAGGGGATTACTAATTTAATGATGTAGTTTTCTTTTTTATTACTAATTTTATGGATTTTTGTGTTTGCGAGTATTTTGGTTTAATATACTTTTGGTAGGCTTAGGTTTATTGGTCTTTTGTGTTTTGGGTTGTTTGTTAATTTTATTATGTAATTATTTGGTTGTTATGTCTTCAGTGAAACGTTATTATAATTTGATTCATTTGTACTAACAGTAAATATTAAATTTATGAGAATTAGATCATCTGATTAACTAATGCCACAAAAATTTCAATAACTCAAAACTCCGTTCGTATTTCACCCCCTCTAAAAGATCGATCGTCATTTTAGGGCTCGCATAAAAGAGTCATCACTGAACCATTGAATGTTTTATGCCGTTCGTTTACGCATGAGTTGCAATGATTGCCATCATCATCATCATATCATCCGTATTAGAAATTAACACTTATTGTGCGGATGTCGAGAAAGGCGGGGGTGCGAAATATTCCTACACGAGCAAAGGAAGGGTGAAATGATGAGGAAAATATGTTATTGTTGAAAGAGATTATTTGAAAGCAATATATTTGGGAGAAAAAGTAATCATTTTTACAACCCACCTGTAATCATTTTCTATCTTAAGAATTTATTGATTCTAATTCACAATAAATTTTTATCAATTACGGGATTATACTTTATAGGTTCGTAAAATTTATTGCTGGACATTTTACCCTCCTGAAACGCAAGACGAGGCCTTTTATGCTCATTACTTTATCGTTGTTATGGGGTTTTCAGAAAAACCAATTAAAACTTTTTTGGGGAATTTCGTTGCTCAGAAACTTTCATTCTTTCTTTTACAATTAATTATCATTCATTTCTTGAATCTTGGAAGTATAAAGTAACTGTGACTTCTAGAAGTATTTTTAAGGGGTTGTGGATGAGATTTTAGGGAAATTCTTCAAGGAACAATATTAGAAAAAAAATAACGCCCTGTTAAAGAGACTAATCCATGAATCCTAGAAGTTTGAAGTCACTGTGGAGCCTACAAGTATTTTTAACAGTCTTTCAAACGCGATCCCAGGAAAATCCTGAAAGTTTGAAGTAACTGTGACGCCTAGAAGAATTTTTTAGGGGCCCTTGAATGCGATTTTACGAGATTTTCTAAATTTTTTTTGAGAACCAACATGGGAGAAATAGTTTTAATCCTGTTTCCGAGCTCTAAACGAGGCTCTAAATCCATTTTCGCTTGATTTTGCCCTATAGAAAAAATTCTAATTCATAATTCCTGGAAGTTTAAAGTCACTGCGAAGCCTAGAAATATTTTTCACAGGCTTTCAAAAGCGATCCCAGAGAAATCCTGAAAGTTTAAAGTCACTGTGACGCCTAGAAGTATTTTTCTGGAAGCCTTGAATGCGATTTTACGAGATTTTCTCAATTGCCTTTGAAGATTAACATGGAAGAGAAAATCTTATCTCTGTGTCCGATCTCTTATCAACTATTTGGACTCTACTAGGTTTCAGCGGGGATTTCTTCAGATTATGCAGTCACTCTCTAAGGTTGTTCATCCATCATCACACATCATCCAAATAAACAAATACTGATGGGGCCAGGTCTGCTTGGATTCGATCTATTATTCGTTGTCAAGATCCTGGGGCATTATGAAGTCCGAATGGTATATAGCAAAACTGAAACAGATGAAATACACGTACGGAGTATACTTGTGGCTCAAGTTTTAACTATGATTGATCAGCTTAATACTAAAGCTGCAGCAGCTGACGCAAGCAATCTACCTACTCCTCCTAACTTGGCCGCCCTCCAGGGTGGTTTGGACAACTATCTTTTAATCCTCCTGCCACTATACAGCCATCTAATTTGCTATTACCCAGCTCAACTTTTGCTGCACCACTCCAATCGCCTATTATAGCTAGTACACCAACTATGTCATGATCTTCCTTATGTCCATTAGCAGTTTTAGCGGTATTTACTGATTTTGCTATACCAGCAGCACCCCCACCTAGCGCTTCAAGAGCAGATAGTCCAGCGGATAATGGAATAAGGCGTAAAATACCTCCTGTTTAAGGAATAGGAATAATTCTTATAGGTCTTAATAAGGGCTTCAGAATGGTATACAGTTGACATCGCTAGCATCTACGGTTTTTGGGAAAATTGAATTTTAAGTTTTGGACAAAATGATGACCAAGCTTCAACTTTAAAGCTCAATATTTTGAAAACTCCCAAGCTGCACAAACCAAGCATAGCTTATAGAGAATTTGATACTCTTTGCAATTATGTAGATATAATTGTGGGGCATTTTTTCAAATTTCACAGGAGGACATGACCGTGTCAAGATTTAAAAAAGATCCAGTGTTAAAAATTAAATTTCCTTTTGATTTAGTAGACACCCAGAATCCGTGACAGTATTTCAAAATCTCTAGCAATTCTGGGGGCTAAAAATGCCTATGGAGACTAAATTTAAACTTTGAAGCTCAATATCTCGAAAAAGTTCAACAAAAACCAATTTTACATGGCATATAGAGAATTTAATATTCTTTCCAATGATGTTCATAAGCAGGTCAATATTTCAAATAATGTCCATTAGCAGTTTTAGCGTTATTTACTGATTTTGCTATACCAGCAGCACCCCCACCTAGCGCTCCTAAAGCAGATAGTCCAGCTGATAATGGAATAAGGCGTAAAATACCTCCTGTTTAAGGAATAGGAATAATTCCTGTAGGTCATAATAAGGGCTTCATAATGGTATACAGCTGACATCGCTAGCGTTTACGGTTTTTGAGAAAATCGAATTTAGAGTTTTAGGCAAAATGATGACTAAGCTTCAACTTTGAAGCTCAATATCTTGAAAACTCCCAAGCTACACAAACCATATAGAGAATTTAATACTCTTTCCAATGATGTTAGGTATAATTGTGAGGCATTTTCTCAAATTTCATAGGAAACATGAGCGTGTCAAGATTTAAAAAAGATCTAGAGCTAAAAATTAGATTTCCTTTTGATTTACTCGACACCCAGAATTCAAAATCTCTAGCAACTCTAGAAGCTAAAAATGCCTATTGAGATTTTTTTTAAGTAGTTTGATTATACAAAGTTGCTCAATTTCCTGAATCCCAAAAATCACCCTGTAAACTAGAATAGACTCACCACGTTTAAGTTTCTCCAACGGTTCGTGGTGCAACGACGGCGTATGAGGCACCACACCATGATGATGTCCGGACTCGTGCGTGGTCACGTGATGTCCGAGCGAGCCCGAGCTCATAATGCCGGAAATCGCCGAGTTCACGGAAACCGCCGAACTGACCGAATCGTGCAAGTGGTGCACGCCGTGATGCATGTCGGAGTTTGCCGACGAAGTAGTAACTCCCGTGACCAGTTCTTGTAGGCAAAGAGCTGGATCGGAAAGTTGTTGCTCTATCCTATCCATGAGTCTGTATGGATTGTAGTTTTCTAGGAGGGTCGTCGTGGTGGCGAGTATTTTTTTACGGGTTTTAGGTGAACATTTATTTTAACCTGGAACAAAAAAACTAACTTAGTTCATAGACAATCGACAAAAATTTTAAATATTATACTGTTTTATGAGTCAATTAACCTTAAAACTTCTAGATTATCTTTGAGTTGACTGTGACTCACCCCTAATGTGAATATGTGTTTTTATGATTCACTCACTCAGTTTTTACAGAAACTGTTGTTTATTTTCCCTCTGAAATGCAAATAGGTACATCATAAACGTCACGTTAAAAAAAAAAAGTAACCAATTTAATTTAAAAATAACTAATTTCACCTGAAGCACACACAAATTAAACTTGAATGATTAGGGATTAGCTTGTGGATTAAAGATTAAGGAGCTGTTTATAGCGGACCTATTTGAGATAAACAATTTATCAGTTGGATATAAGACCTGATATCGATCGTGACACGTAATTAAGCTTGTAAATATGTGATTGAGACGTTTTTTTGTGTGTGATATTTTCGATAAATAATCGATAATTGGCCTTGTTAATTTTTATTAAAAATAAAATATTTGTATACATCAATAATTATTATAATTATACTAATTTCTAATCTTTGGAATCATCATAATAAATTTTAAAATGCAAATTTTGGACATCCTACAATCTAATATGAATTGTGCGGTGGAAGATTTTCATAGATACTAGCTTTGTTTTGGTTCGAAATTTAGAATGGTTCTGGGATTGCGCAGAACAGCTTGCGCACAAAAAATAATAGAGGACTGTTCTAATACTAGTTCTGAACCGATTCGGGACCAAAAAAACCAAAACACGTCGCAAATCACAAAATTCTAAAACAGTTCCTCCTTCAGAGCAAGAACTGAGAGATCCGTTCTAGAACAGTCCCCGAACTGTTCATAAATAGTTCTAGATAAACCAAAATACTGTCAACACAGTTCGATTACGATTCTGAAAAACGAAAACGCATTTTATAGTATGCGCATGTGCAGAATGATTCCGAACTAGTTCTGAGTGAAACCAAAACAAAGCTATAGATAGATACCTCTATTACCTACCTACCATTATTTATAGTATTATTACATTTTTTTTCCAGCCATTAGTAATCATATTTTAATAATGAATCATAGGATTTTTCTACTTAAAACATTTTACTTTTTAAATCAGCAATGCCGTAGGTATTTATAAAAGGCCAACATATAGAAAACATGTACCTAACCACTTATGTTTTACGTTGTTATATTTCATGTCAAACACTTGAAAATTATTATCTTTAGTCGTTATCGTATGATTTTACACCACATCGCATTGTTTGCTGATAAGATTTCTTGAAATTTTTTATCCACAAACAAGTTGATACACATGTATTCTAAAATTCACCATAGAAGAAAGACGCAAATTTATTTTATTTCGAAACTTCCACAAAACTGCAACAATACTGTAAAAGACCTCAAATCCAATTTATCAACTAAAGTGGTTTGTTGTGTTTTGTCACAAAAGTAGTTGATGTTGATGCTATCATCCCTGAACACGTAAAGCAGCAACTTTAACTATTTGGATATCTTGGGAGTGTCCAAAAATAGTGGTTGCCTATACCATATTGCGTCCAAATCAGCAATCTAAATTATACTTCTTCTAATTCCAATGTGAAAAGTTTGGCAGGTTTGCATTTTTGTGAATATTATGGTTTTCTATATTCTATTCCACAATAACCATTCATGCTATGTTACTCTGATATACCTTTTCGTGGTCATGAATGCTACGCATATAGAGGCAAATGATATTCACAGTCCATTCCTCCAATGAAAGCTCTAATTGTGAGATGGTCTGATGTTGACATTACTCTTCAGTATCCAGTCTGCTCAATGGATTGTTATGTTTCCATTTAAGATTAGCTGGTTAGTGATCCACATCGAAATACACATGGATGAACATTTTCTGATATACCGTCTATGCCTATTTTTACAAAACAATACAATTCCATTTTGTGAGGATTTTAGCTTCGTGGAGAGATTCATCGAAACAGTTTCAAACTACCTAAGACTTTGTTTAATTTCAACTTTCTAATATAAAATATTGTCCAATTATTACTAAAAGGACACAACATGGCGCAGTCGAGGTAGCTAGTTATTGTTGAGAAAACTGGAATTTAAAACCCCATCTAATCTGTCGCTCCAAGGAAATTTTAAGTGTAAATTGGCGTAAGCAAAATTTCGAAATCTACCTGAAAGCTTCTGGTAAATCTGGAAAAGATGATGAAGCAAAAATTGCCATCTTGCTAAATTTGATTAGTGAAGAAGATATGGAAATGTACAACACGTTCACGTTATCGGAAACAGAAGCAAAGTCTTTTTAAAGTGTACTGAAAGCTTTTGAAGATCATTGTAGCCTCAGAAAAATATATTTTTCGAGCGTTTCAAATTTAATAGTAGGAATCAACAAGAAGGTGAAGGATTTGACCAGTTTTCAACGGAAGTCAAGAAATTATCATAATCCTGTGAATTTGATGCTCTAGGTGATGAGATGGTTCATGATGAATTGTCTTGGGAATTCATGATAAGGCCATTCCAGGAAAGGTTGCTACGGGTGGAAGGCCTTGACTTGTCTAAGGCTTTAAATTTATGCTGAAATGTCTAAATCTCAGGTTAGAAATTTGCAAGGAATCCCTGCTGAAGTGGAGTTTGTTGAGAAAAGGTCAGGAAACCATAAGAATTATAATAAATTAGCCCCAAATTCTAGTGGTGCAGATAAAAGATTTCATTCAAATGTAGAAGATGCCCAACTTTGCATGGAGTTCGTGAATGTTGGGAAAAAGTGTACTAAATGGAAGCAACTAAATCATTTTGCAGTTTCATGTCATGTTAAAAATTTAAAAGTATTACAAGAACAGGACGAGGAGTCTGATGAGGCTGAGTTCGCAATCAATATTATTGGAATAAAAAACCAGAGTTATAAAGTATTATCAAATAATTTATGGTTTCATAATGTAAATATTGGTGATCATCGTTTGCCTATTAAATTTCAAATTAGATACTGGTGCAAATGTAAATGTACTGTCACGTAAAATGTTGAGTGAAGTTGGCGTTCCAGAGTCTCAGCTACGAGATACAAAAATAATTTTAGAGACATTTGGAGGTAGTGTAGTGAAGCCTGTAGGAGTACTTTCGCCGAAAGTGCAGTGTAAAAATGTTGAATTTATTGCTGATTTTATAATCGTGGATAAAGCTGTTCATCCTTTACTGGGACTTGAATCTTGTGCAAAATTATATCTCGTTGCTCTATACAAGGAAAATATAGATAATCTGATGAGTAACTTAATTACTAAGGATGAATTTGTCAATAATAACTCTGAATTTTTTGAAGGTCTTTGTGAGTTTAAAGATAAATGTGAAATTCAAGTAAATAATGAGGCTATACCTGTTATTAACCACCCAGAAGGATACCTTTTGCCATTCGTGACAAATTGAAGGAAACCTTATTAAGTTTAGAACATAGAAAAATTATTTCAAGAGTGGAGAAGCCCTTTGGCTGGGTTAATAATATTGCTATTGTCGAGAAAAAGGATGGCTCATTCAGATTATGCTTGGATCCACGAGATTTGAATTTAGAAATTAAAAGTCCTGCATATGTACAGGGCAGGGCCGTATCTAGGGGGGTTTTGGGGGTTCAAACCCCCCCCCCCCCCCAAAAAAAAAATAATAAAATTCAAAAAATTTAACTTAAAAACAAACAACATTTATTAAATACTTATTTTTTTTATTTTTTTTATTACTCGTGTAACAATTTTTTTTGCCACTTTGTCTAACCCCCCCCCAAAATTTTGGTCTAGATACGGCCCTGGTACAGGGTGTTTTTTCATATATTAACACCCCACCTACATCATTTATCTTTACAGGTAGAAGAAAGGTGTAAATACAAAAGTCGTACAGTTTTGGCTGAATGTAGGTACTTGAACAATAACTTATTATATAAAGTCAGAATTTGTAAGTATATCTACTTTTTATCAATTTGCCTTTTAACAGGAATTAGTTATATTACTTTACCAAATTAGGAACATAATGTGACAAGTTATTCAAGTACAAACGAATGGATTGTTGCGGAACTTATGGGTGGACCTCTGCGGGACGAGCGCAGCGAGTTCCGCAGCCATCTATTCACCAATATGTTGTTCAAGTACGATATTAACCTGACTCACTTAAATGTCAGTTATTCTCATTAGTTCAAAAGCTAGACGTTTCAGGTGTGTGTCTTATTTGAACAGTTCAACAGTATATTGGTGAGTGGATAGCTGCGGAACTCGCTGCGCTCATCCCGCAGAGGTTCACCAATAAGTTCCGCAACAATCGACTTATTTGTACTTGAACAATAACTTATTATATAAAGTCAAAATTTGTAAGATTATCCACTTTTTGTTAATTTGCCTTTCAACATGCAGGAATTAGTAATGTTACTTTACCAAACTAGTAATATATTGTGACAAGTTATTCAAGTACAAACGAGTGGATTGTTGCGGAACTTATGGGTGGACCTTTATCGCAGCCATCTATTCACCAATATGTTGTTCAAGTACGATATTAACCTGACTCACTCAAATGTCAGTTATTCTCATTAGTTCAAAAACTAGACGTTTCAGGTGTCTTATTTTGAACAGTTCAACAGTACATATATTGGTGAGTAGATGGCTGCGGAACTCGCTGCGCTCGTCCCGCAGAGGTTCACCCATAGGTTCCGCAACAATCCACCTATTTGTACTTGAACAATAACTTATTAGGTAAGCTCAGAATTTGTAAGATTATCCAGTTTCTGTCATTTTGCCTTTTAACAGGAATTAGTAATGTTACTTTACCAAACTAGTAATATATTGTGACAAGTTATTCAAGTACAAATGAGTGGATTGTTGCGGAACTTATGGGTGGACCCAGCTATCTATTCACCAATATGTTGTTCAAGTACGATACTAACCTGATTCACTCAGTTGTGAATTTTTCTCATTAGTTCAAATCTACACGTTTCAGGTGTAATATTTCACATTTCTGGCATTCA